CTCACTTTAGCATATATATAAAACATAGAACTTTTATTAACAAAAGAAATAAAAATACACCATGCTAAACGGCAGGCTATGCCTAATATAAAATAACAAATAACTTACATAAAGATTAAATAGGTATACAAAACTGGAAATAGGCCAAGTAAACATGTATAATATATAACCAAATAAATAAGAAACGTAGAACGTTTATTAGCAAAACGAGTAAGAAAGCTTGGAGGCACGGCATACACCTTGATGTAAAAAAATAAATAAATGACACAAAGTTTAAATAAAGTAAAAATCAGCAAACAATGTGGAACCAATTAAATAAGAAACTAATGTTTTAAAAAACTTCCAAAATCACCTTAGATAAACGGCAAAAGTCAACAGGTTTTTCAAAATCCAAAATATTGCCTAACAGGCGCTTTTGCATCTCGTTTCGAAACTAAATCATCCGCGATCGTCTTGCTTGTCAGTCAGCTCGACTCGCTCTCCTCACTGGAGAAATTAAATCTGATCTGTGATGCCGAACTATCGTTCGGCACGCTGCATTGAGCAGCCGCGTTCAGTTTTTAATTGTAGCGTCTGTTCTTTTACTGAACTAAATGATTTTTATTACTACAAAAAATCAAAACGACGGTGGGGGTCGGTGTCGCGGTGGGCAAGTAACGTAACCGGTGTTGCGGCTTAACAACGGTATCACCGTCTATCACGGTAATGCGATAGACGCATCTGGTTTTAAAGTAAGTACCGTAAAACCAGATGTGTCATGTATAATGATGATTATACAACGACCATCATAACAGTATGGGACTCATTAAGCTGTTAGTTATTCAGTTACCCAAGTTGGGATAAGGATGCTAATAATGAGGAATAAGAGAATGAAGTCAAGAGCAATTACAGAAAATGCTCACAAAACAGTTCCCAATATGTGGAACAAAATACTAGTTTCCATTACCAATCATCAAGCCACAACCATAAACACAACCTACTAAAGAGAGCCAATTACCTTCTTAATACATGCTTCTGGTCTTAATTTGAACTATTAACCTGTGCATGGTATTCCAAATTAAAAACTGCTTGGCTTCATGATCAGACTCACAAATGTGAGTCTAATCTAATCCCAATGGATTCAATTAAGTTCCGTCCTATATATTTCTTCACTCAAAAATATGTAACATAAGTGAAATGGGCTGCAAATGGCAATTCACATTCAGTAAAAGTAACAGAAAAAGATACACCACAGAGATATTTTAAACCAACCAGTGTGACATGTAAAAGCCATGCACTAACATGCTAAGAAGCTCCACAAAGCCACATTTTTAATGGTATTGTGAGAGTATTCTGCCACCCTGTAATTTATGTGATTCATCTGAGCTTTGTTCCCCGGCTAATACTGAACCCTAAAATGAGTAATATGGTAGATATTGTTTGTAACTATAAACGGCAGACTCATTCTATGAATAACATCACAGTAAATAGGAACTGGTTAACTTGATTAGATGAAATAAGGATACATTTACCATCTAAACACGGGGGTTTAAAAAGTCTGGTGTGATTTGTAGAAAAGCAAGTGTCGAGTCAGTGCAATGTTTTCTTTTTAATTATAAGAGATTGAACACTTACATCTTAAATAACGACTGCATTAAAAAAGAAAATCAAGCGAGAAGTCTGAAAGTATGTTAACTGAAGTTTGCAGAGCAAAATCATTATTTAGGACTACGAGAGATCTTTAAAAAGACTGTGTCCTAAATTCTCCCTCTAGGACAAACGCTCACATCTAGGACATTCTAGAGAGTACAGAGTAATATTTCTCTATCACAACATGCAAGCCGCCTATAAAAACATTATTGTTGCCGATAAGATCTCAACATAGTTTCACTTTAAATGTCTCAATCCTCAGTCAATATCTGATGCAGCCAGTGTTACAACAAAATCAATCGGGGTTTACACCTTTTAAGGGGCTAATCACAATATTCACTGCAGTTCTGATTAATCATTTGCCAAATATGCTTTAAAATCTCACAGCCTGGACCGGATTAAATTGCATTATACATTAAAACCTTCCCGTGTCAACAAATCTGCTTCCTCTCTGACTCTGAATGGCTTTGCACATTACAAAAGGCTCATTACAAACAGCCTATTCCCTCTATCCTAAATGTAATCAGCCTAATTAGAATGAGTAATTAGCACTTACTATAGTTATGCGGTGCCTCTTGACAGAGTGGGAGCCCTTCATTCTAGCACTGGCGATCTGAATGGCGTCGAAACTGACAGTCGGTCCGTTTTTGTGATGCTGACAGCTCATTGATTGCCTGGCACAAACCGATGCTCAGAGGAGCGTGAAAACATTTCCGACACTTGTCGTTAGATGTCCGACGGGTGCCGAGGATTTGAGTTTTCTCTCTCTTTCTCTCTCTCTCTAACTCTCTCTGGGTAGCAAAGAAGGGAATAGTCGTCACTCAAGGACTCACCAGTGGTGAGACTGCATAATCAGGCAGGTAAGGTCTCCTCACTTATCTGTGCGTCCCTTTACTAACCAATGACGCGCAAGAGCTCCAGCACAATGAACTTCATTTATACAGCACTTTTTATAGACACTGTAACTCAAAGTGCATTTTAAACGAGTGGAGCATTCGAAATTCTGTTTTCAGTTTTTTATTATTATTATGGATGCAATTTATACACTGCACATCACTGCAAAATGTTACTGTCAACTATAGTGTCACACAGTGTTATTTAATCTAAAACTATTTAAAGCAAAAAAAAA